TAAATTATTAATATATTAATATATAATACAGAAATTATTATATTAATTATTGAAACTCTGTATATAACTGATTTTGGTAGTTATACTAGATTTGTGATATAATGAACTTAATAATAAATTGATTATTAGTGAAATAAACATATAAGTAAAATAAACATGTTGGTAAATTGATTGTTGATAAAATGTTGTGCCTATAATATAAGTGTTAGTAAATATGCAATTGATTGACTAAAAATTCTGTTAACAAAGTAACAAAGTAATTATTGTTGTGAGGTTAAATGACCTATGATCTTCATATGTTGAATTTTGTATAGCTGATTGTAGAATATTAGCTGTTGCCTAATAGTTCTTGTTAGATGCAAGTTTTTTATAATAATTTTATGATTGCATATTAATATGCTTATAGTAGGTGGTATTAGTTTAGAAGTAAATTATATGGTTATAGTTATAAAATCAAAAGAAAGAAAAATTGATGACTTCTTATTAGTGAGAGATATTTAAAGCTATAGTTGTTGTTATAAGAAGTTTTCTTTTTCTTTACTATTACTTGCTTTGTAGAAAGGCTGACTCTATTATTTTCTTTTATTTTCTACTTTCTTTTTAGAAATAGTGATATCATATCATGTTTTTTGTCAACCTATAGGATATAGTAGGTATTTATAAGCTTTGCAGCTGCAATAGCAATACAAGGACTACCAAGAATATATTTAAACTTCATGTTATAATAACAGTACAAGGACCCTATAAATCAATGAATGCTCTGAAGCTATAGTTACAGTGCAAGAGTTTTTATAATATAATCTGGCTTTACTACTACAGGTGCAATACAAGAACCACTAAGAGAAAGTTGAGCTTTAGAAGTAGTAACTTTTTTTTAAAATAAGTATATAACTAATTCTTTTTTATAGCTATACTTCTTTTACTAAGTCTTCTTCACATAAAATTTAGTATTTGTAAGATAGAATTTATGAATTGTTTCTCTGAGCTTAGTTTAAAAAGTATTGGTTTGGACTGATGTTTTGTTAAAACTATCAGTACAAGTTTTGAAATACCTTTGTAATACATTAAAATTATTTAATTGGAATAGTAATGTATTATAAAAGGATAGAATCTTAAACTAGAGTCTGTAAACATAATGAACAGATTTCTAATTATTTTTTAATAAAGTCATTTGATTGAACAATAATAAATAACAATTGTTAAATAAATTATATCATATCATTATGATAAATTGTCAAAATAAAATGCAAATTTGTTATTTTTTGTATTTTATCTTATTATTTGCAAATCTCTATCTAATAACTAAATCTCAAGATTATCTGTTTTTATTTCATAATAGATTCAAAGAATTGCTTTCTGAATACAGAAATATCTTAACTATAAATTGATTAATAGCCAACCTAAAACCTTTAAAAAACATCAAGATCTTTAATTTTTATGTTAGAGTTTTACAAAATTTGGCAAATACAAGTACAAATATTAATGCTATTTCTTATAACTTTTGAAGTTTTGAAGAATAATATATAGAGCTTAGTTACAAATTCAGTATTTTTGAATTACTAATAAGTTACTTGAATTAGATAACAGTTGATATTGAACCTTTCTATAATGAACTCCAGATATAATAAATCAAAGCTTTGAAATTCATAATAGTTCATACAATGAGTTCTTAATAAAACAATTTTCTAACCTGATTTTTTTTTTATTTAATGCATATAAGTATTCAAAAAGTATCTACTATGCAATTCTCTTCTTATGTAAATAATATTAAATAATATTAAATACAGTTACAGAAATGCTTGTAAAAAAATTATATTGTAAATAAAAAAATATATACTGTAAAAATAGCTTTTATCATATTGATTATAGATGTAATGCTTTTAAATTTAATGATTTATAAACTTATTTTAAACTGATTTAGACTCCAAAACAATGTACTCAATTATTATTATTGCTTGATAATAGACTTTATTGTTATTTGAAGAAAAAACATATGAGAATAGGTTTACTATCAAGCTGATTCTACCCTTATAAGAAAGGTAACTGGTATGACAGTGCTATTCTTAATAGCCAACCTCAAACAAACTTGTTCTTATTCTAATTTTCTTCTAACTCTTGCACTATTCTAACACTCCAGACCAAAACTATTCTGCTTAGTAAATTATTTTCCAAAACAATACTGAACAATATTCTCAAAGCAATTAATAGTATTTGCATAGCTAAAAAGAGAATCAAATTGTAAATTATTTGTGCATTTTCACACATAGTATAAGTTTTCTTATGGTTCTTGCACTGTTATTACAACTGCAGAGCCAAAAACAACTTGAAGATCCTTGCACTGTTCTTATAACTGTGAAACTAAAAACAACTTTGAAGGTTTTTGCACTGTAATTACAGCTGTGAAGCCAAAAAATAACTTGAAGGTTCTTGCACTGCTAAAGTAACCATGGAGTCCTCATTCCTATAGATAACTAAAGTCCAATTCTGTGATTGTTGCATTGTGCCTAGCTACTGAGCTGACTACTATTGAGAGAAACAGGTGGAATAAATAAGTCAGCCTTTTCTAAGGTGAGTGATAGTAAAACAAAAGATGCCTATTATCTCTTAAACCACTATCCTTATAATGCCTTCTTTTTTTCTTACAATTCACATACATTTCTTGTTTCAAAACCCCTAAGTCTGATAATCATTACTCCTTTCTAATATTTATAACAACATAAATAATAATTAATCATATACAATCATAACACTAGTATCGCTATATACCTGCATCTAACCAGAACTCTAAAAAAAACATTAGACTTACCCTATATAGAACATAACAAAAACAAAAACATAGATCAGATTTGTAATAAAATCATCTGATCTTGCAATACTGAATGCTCTGTCACTTTGTTGATGAGCTATTAATTAATTTGGAATTCGTTTAATTTTGTTGTAAGTTAAATTGAATTCTTTAATGACTTTGACATATTTTAAAATTCTATTATAACTTATGCTTATTTTGAATTAACCTAGGTGCATTCTAAAAATACAATAATTTGTTTCCAATATACAACATATATGATGCTTTTTGATTAATAATCTAAATTTACTATATTTGATTTATTATAAATCAAGACATACAACAAATTATTTCCTTAAAATTAACTCTAAGATTTAAGACCAGATAGAATAAAGTATCAGAAATTAGCAATAATAATGTTAACAAATTACTTACATATGTATAGTATTTAATTAAAATATTAACAATGAAATGCTAAAGAAAAAAAACCTTAACTATATAATATATAGTAAATTTTTAAATATTTTACTAAAAGAAAACAGGAATTTTCAAGCACTAAATTGATTTATACCAGAAACGAAGTATATGGCTAAGTGGCAAGTTAAGTTTTTCTGTACAAATACATGTTTTTAATTGGGTATTGCTTTTTTTATATGAATACTTATTTCTTATTGTACTATTTTATAAATTATAGTTGTGTAATTAGGAATTGTGTATCAGTATAGGGCTTTACTATCTTTATTATAAATGCTGTATAAACTAGTTGCATCTGTGTTGAAAATATTTAGGCAGATAGAAATAAAGTCACAATCTGAAGCAAAAGCCGAAATCTAAAATACAAGTCATAATCTAAATTGATAGCCACAATTTTATTAGCATTAATTTCTGACGGCATGTATAAATCTATATCGAAATGCAACTCGATTTTTCCTAATTTGCATATGGGGCTTCTCTATACATATTAAGGTAATATAATTCTCACATATTCAAACTATTCTAATTGTTTATTTCATACTATAATTGTTTTTGCAATTGTAATAGTTAGCAATATTGATAAAATATTATGTACAATTTGAATAAATTCTTGAACATATCGTACATTACTTTCAAAACATTAATCAATCATATTTTATAAAAAAGTACATTTGCACAAACAACTATAAATATAATAAAAAATCAATATAAAAATGAACCTCTAAGATGGCATGCTGAATAACCTATGAGAAACGATTCACCAGGAGATTGCCTTTCGCTGAAGTTTCGCCTTTCACTATGGGTTTCGCCTTTTACTGGGAGTTTCGTCTTTCGTCAGAGAATATCCACACGCAAAACATTTTGATTAACCAACATGGCACAGTCTTTCCAAAATCTTAGAGGATTTGATCTTCGCTGTGTTTAACTTTCTCCAATGGTTTTGGCTTTACTGGAGGTTTCGCCAGAGTTTCGACGTTTCGCCGGAGTTTCGCCAGTTTGACTTTCGCCGGGTTTAGTTTCGACTTTCGCCATTTACCAAAAATAGTTTCGCCTAACAACACTATGTACTACACGTTTTTCTTGTATCACACGTACAAAGTCATTAACAACATTGGATATTCATGCCCTAGATAAATCTGAAATACACGCCGATCACTCAACACTAGATAAATACGTCTGTTTATTGAAAAATCATAACAATTAGGATTTTGATTTCTATCACATGACTTTATTAACTAAAATCTACTTATATACTTCGCACTTCTAGATCTAAAACAAATTATGAACTGCAATTATTATTTTACACAATCTTCTATCTGTCGCATCACAGTAAGTCACAATCGTTTTAAATTGCACCTTTAAATATAGCAATAAATATTAACAACTAGGTAATTCAACTCACAACACATACTTCTACTATCTACTTTATCTCAAGTTTAAGATATGTTATAAGTTATTATCATAACTAAAATCTTCATTACTCTATATCACGCTCACGAATCCATAGACGCAGTATAACTTTACTCCCTGCAAAGTTTACTTAATTAGTTAATGTGCTTTATTAAATATAATATATAATGACTTTATTAATAAAAATAGGTTTAAACTAGTATAATCTATGGGCTAAAAGTTAGCAATCTGATTTATACTAGTTAATTTTAAATTTATAAATTATATATAGTAATTTCAAAGCAACGTAAATTGAAAAATGACAGAGTACGATTAGAAGTTACCTAATTAATCAATTTCGAGGATTAATTTTAACTTTCAACTCCTTGCAGTTTAGGGTAATTCCTGCTTTAATTTTTAATGGCTCATTATTATTCACCAACTCGACATTATAATTTTTAAATACTAATACCATTAATAAGAGTAATTCTGTCATTGCAAATTTTCTACCAGGACAAATTCGTTGACTTCCACCAAACATAGCCAAGTTTTTATCGTTCATTTTTTTATCATATTTATTATCATCATAAAACCTATCCGGATCAAAAATTTCAGAATTTGGCCAAAATTCCGGATTTTTGTTCGCTACTATACGATTCAAATGAAACAGTGTGCCAGCAGGCCATTTATATCCAGCAATTTCATACTCTTCAATAGTGTAGCGGGGTATGACATATGTTGTGGGTAATATGCGACTCGTTTCTTTAATTATTGCTTTACAATATTTTAATTTTGAAATATCATGTGACACGTGGAAGTTTTTAGAAGATTTAGGAAAAATAGTGTCAATTTCCAAAAGCATCTTTTGTTTTACGTGTGGATGCTTACAAATATTATAAGTTATAAAACAGAATACTTTTGCTATCTAAATGGAATAATTATAACCTAATCTTAGTAAAAATAACCAAACAAAAACATATTTAAAAGTAAACTACTGTGAATATGATACTTACAATATCTGTTCCAGGTAAAATAGCTTCTATCAAATTTGTTCTAATTTGTTCATCATTCATAGGTTTAAGCATTTCACCATCTATTGTTTTAACATTAATAGTATTCCTTGAGGTGTTTGCGGTAATTAACGAAGTTAACATATCACTTTTCATTTCAGTATCCAATGGCAATTCATCAATTTTCTTTCTTCTATTCTTAATTATCATATCAAATCTTTCAAATACGTAATCACGATTTTTTAACATAGAAATTGAAATGTTTCTGAATATTGGAACGTAATGCCTCATGAACGGACCAACAAGCAGAAAAAACAAAGCATCAATAACAAGCTTCATAGATGCCTTGACAAATTTATTACCATCTTCCACCAATGCATCAGGATGTTCAGATTTAATAACACTTTGAGTATTATAATAGGAAGCAATTGCATATACTCGTTCACCAGTGGTTACTATTGAAACAATATCATTCGCAAGTCCATGAAACCATGCAGATAAATTAATTTCTAGAGTCCAATTATTATTATTATTATCATTATTATTATTATTTAAGAAGGTACTTTGCATTCCAAGAGATTGCCAATATCCACTTAATTCATCAAATAATTTATTTGTAGAACTTATGGCAGAATCCATAAATCTAGGTGTCAATAATGCTTGAGTAAAAAATTGCCTATGATAATACCAACTTTTATAGTCATTATTAAAGATAGTTCCACGTCCATAAAATCCTAGTTCATCAATACCTTGTGAATGTGAGATTCTCATTGAAAATGAAGTAGGATTTAAAAATTTTTCCATATATTCAGGCCGTGAAATAATGATACATCTACGTCCATTAAACATTATTTCACAGAAATCACCATATTTCTGTTGACATTGTTCATAAAAAAGTTTTACATCATAAAGATTATGAAGGTTTCCAATAAATGGTAAAGGTAACGGACCAGGAAATGGATTAGGACGAGTAAAGTAACGGTAATAAAATGTAAAGATATAACTAGCTAAGATTAGGAAAAAAAGGTAGAAAACGTTTGTAATTTCAAAGAAATCGATAATCTTTTGAATAATCATTTTATGCTAGTCTTGGAGGCGGAGCAACTTTTGATTTATCGAATATTCAACAACCTATAATCAAATCATATTTATGTATTTATATTCATTTATCCAGACCTGAATTTATTCGGATATCCGTCTTATATCCATTTACTATTAATATTTGGATAATTTCGAATATCTGCCGGTTTATCCGGATATCTGAACAATTTTGAATTAACTGGATAGTCAGATACGGATAGATGGGTTGATGAATTATCCGGATTTGAACTCTACCCAAATGAATAACAAAGCATAAAATATATTGTAAAATGCTGTTCACGTAAGGCAATTTCCGCCAAGAGATTGGGGTGTTTGATCGACTATTTAATAAAATTGTGGAATGTAAATTGGTATCCGCTCCAAGTCACGGGTTTTCCTTATTTGATTTCTTTTTATTTATTTCATTTTTAATATTTATGCTTGTATATGTATACATTATTGGGCAGTAAATTAAAAAAATAAAGTTTTTTGTTATTTATCGTGTGAGCCGTGAAACGTGATCCCGGAAGCACGTGGAATAAGGTGATTTGTGTGGCGCAGTAACGATTAACAGCTATGTTGATAACCTGCCTAAGATGGGCTTCCCGGGATTATGGGTCCTAAAAGTCGGTTACCACTAATAGAGGGGATAAGGGCAATAAGAGAAATAGATGCGAACGATGATTAATGGGTTATATGATAAATGCGGGTTTTAAGTAATAAAGGACATTGCAGGGGTATATGAGGGATAATAGGGATAATATGTTTAATGGGTTTAATAAGTCTAATACCTTAAAGAACGCATATGTAATTGAATAATATATAATAAAGGCTTCGAGCCCTACAAGAACAGTTGAGTTTGCGCTTATCATAAAATTCGCTCCTAATAACTCCCTGCTTAATTATATTGTAAAACATACGATCATAAACACACCACTCTCCAAATCTAACCTCCTCTTATCGACTAAGCCGTTCGTAGGTTACACGACATATCCCATCGACAAGCTGTTTCGCTCGCGTCAATCGTATGCCCAATAATGGTGTTATCCGATGATTATATATGACCGTGTGATCATATAAAATGTCGGATAAAGTTATTTATTTGTAAATCATCCTGCTTATACTATTTGTTTACGTTTAAGAACCATGGTAGATACGCACATAAACATTATGATGAGCAGATGAGGTTAGAGTAAACATTAATATGAGCAGTTAGGGCTAAAGTGTATATTCGAATAACCGTATATTAGTGATATGAATAGTGTGGCTTTGTGTTACTTAGAATAGTTTAATAACAAACTAACTATTCATATAGAGAATATCCTAGTCTTCACGAACAAAATTGTAAAAATATAGATCATTTTCGCCTTTCCAAAAGTACTAGTTACGAAGGAAGTAACCAATTAAGTTCTAAATAAATAAATCACTATACTTTATATTAAGCATCTCTAAAACTTCCCCAAATATTAATTTACTTTAACTTCTCTTAACAAGTATCGTTTTCTTATCATGCTAAATTATCTTTGCATATAAATATACGCCGGGCTCTTATTTAACATAAACGAAGTATGCACTGAGGCTGAATAGACCTTTCCCTGAATAAATAAGAGTGTATATTATATAGTTTATATAGTTTAATACGCTTACGAAGGACCACATATAAGATTATTAATTAGATCAATCAATTACTTAGATCACTCTTAAGTTATATATCTATCAACTACCATCAACCTGATTATAAATAGTATATAGAATCCCACCGATATTACTTAGATTTATTAAACCTGTACCACATTAACTATTGGAGCTAAACCGTGCAATGTTATCTGCTCTCCCAATTAAGAATAGTAACAATATACAGGTTTTGGCCATCAATCTCGGACATCTTTATCAAGAGTGCACTTACTCTTAAATATTTGTTAATTGATTTTTATTATTTGGGATGGGTATGTTCTTGATAAGAGTTTTTTTTTTTTAAAAAAAAGCAATTAAATAATCACTTTTTTGAATTAGAATTATGCAAACTACAAGAATATTAATAACATTTCTTTACAAAGATATGTATATGGTATAGCATTCTAAATTTTTTTTTTTTAAATTGGTTACAATGAATACAATGTTCTGAACAAATGTACATTAGATGCCTTTTTAGACTTTCAAGTGATGGCAGTTATTATTGTAATTCATGTTCTTCTTATCATAGTTGATAATCAAAAAGATACTTTTTTTAGATCTTCTGGATAAAGTGATACTACTTAACAATCTCGAACAGTGAGTCATTCACTTCTCAATCAGATTCATGTGTAATTTATAGATCAGCCTAGTCAAAAAGATAAGCAATCATGACACAGTCACAAGAGTGGATATTATTGCAAGATATCTGTAAATCTTTATCATATGACCAAACTTGAAGCTAAGCCAATAGTTGGGGAAAAATATTTAATGAACTGAAAAGAAGGTTGTTAGTTGTGCTTTTTCTTTGTTATTGTCTGAAAATATAACTTTCTGGTTCTATCAAAGACCAACAACTATAGTACTATAGAGATGGCAAGCCTAAAAAGTAGACTATACAGGAAACTTCTTTCTATTAATGATGATTTGGGTCTAAAAGAAGCAAAGCAAGTTGGTCTCAAATGTTACTAGAAACTTTATAAACAGTGACTAAACAACTTCAACTTGACATAACAAGAAACAAAACAGATCTTATTGAAAGAATAATTTCACATTGTCCAGGAAAGAGAAATCAACAGGAAGAGGAGTCAATATTATGATTTTAAATACAAATCAGTAAGGGATTAGAACATGATGAGTTACTAGTAAATGCATAATTAAGATCTAGAAAACTTATTAAGAGAAGAACAAAATAAAGAAAAGAAAAGGAAAAGGAAACATAAAGTAATAGAGTCACAAATATCCTCCTCCTCTTCAAATAACAAAAAATGAGAAATCATAAAAAAATTCAATGAATACTAATTGAAGATACAAATATTAAAAATTTATTAACAGAAATAAAAAAACTTAGAAAAAACATGGTTAATGTAAATACAAAAGTAGAAAAAATTTGAGCAAAAGTTAAAATTGATGATGAGTGATCTGAAGAACATGTTGAAAGAGTCAAAGATCAATATAAATATAATATATTGAGAGTTATTGTTAGATATCTCAACCTAGGCATGAATTCTATTTTAATAGATGAAGCAGTATTATATATTGAATTAGTAAAAAGAAAAGTAAAAGGATTGAATGATAAAAACAGATAAATTGGATGAGAATAAAACTAAAAATTATGTTAAAAAATATGTTAAAAAATAAAGTAATAGAATTAGTAAGTATTGGATTAATAAGGCCATCAAGTATTATAAAAATGAGACCAATATTTTATAACCAAAGACAGGACCTAAAAAATAGTGAATAATTATTAATCTTTGAAGATTGAACAACACATTATCAGATTAATCATTTTGTTTTGAGGATTTAAAAATTTTTATAATAAGAGGTCTTAAATTAGCAAGTCTGTTCCTAATTAAAGATTGGCTTTGTGTAATAATTGGATGGCTTTTGGTTAAAAGAGGTGTATAGATTTGATAAGCAATTTCAATTTGGTCTGACTTATTCTGAATAGTCTACATTACATTAAAACTATTATTCTAACTATTTTAACATTGCAGTATTTCATATTACTTTGAAATATACTATACTAACAGAATAAGATTTATTACTAATTTAGATAAGTATTTTATTATGACAATAGTTCTTTACAGTTATTTATAGAAGAACACAGAATTTATAATATTTATTTCTTTTTATTACTTGTATAAAATCTGCTTTATTATTAAAATAAAATTACATGTTATTTATAAGCACAAATCTAGCTATTTTTAGAATGTTAATATTCATTATTATGCTTATAATAATAATATTGCTTATATTACATATATTGATTATAATGATTATAATCAATATATGCAATATATGCATTATGCTTATCATAAGTATAAATATTCTAAATGTAGCAAGATCTTTATAGACAAGATAGAATTATAACCTGATAATTATATGATGATAATCTTATGATAAAATTAAGAACTTATAGATCATATGTTTCAGGTTTAATAATAAAAACAGTAGATAAATTAGTAAGTAATTATAATTAATCTAAAAAATAGATATCACATCTGCTAATAGAAGAGACTGCACAAAAATTACTTAGATTTTATTTTAACAAAAACTGGTATCATTACTGTATACTACTGTTTGGCTTAAGCCAAGCAGTATAAATGTTCTTAATGATAATATAAGCATTTATAGATCATTAGTATTTTTTGAAATCTACTGCAAAAATCATATGAACAGTTTTTGAATAACTTATCTTTTGAAGAAAACACTATTGTATCAAAGAAAAAAAATTATTGCAATAAATATAAAAAAGATTAGTTTAGTAATATATAAAACAAAAAGTTATTGAAAGCTAATACAGAAACTAAATTTCATAATTTTATATTAAATACAATAAAAGAAGAAATTATTATTTTAAGAAACAAGTTTCAAAAAATAAAAAATTTATTAAGAACACTACTAGTAGTTTTAAAACTAACAGTATGTATGCTAGCTTCAGTATTAGGTTTCTTAATAAGTATAAATTAGACATTTGTCCTAGCAAAAGTATAATGTATAAAACTTTATACAATTATAAATACAATAAACTAAAGGACACAAGACTGAGTCAATAAAGTAACTTTCTCTTAACAGGTAAAACAATATACAAAATGAATTTTAGGAAACTTAAAAAAAAGAAATAAAAGATCCACCTGAAGGCCATCAAAGATTCTTCTATTGTTTATAAATGCATTGACTACAGGTTGGTCAGCCTTTTTACTAAAGATAAAAGCCTTCAAAAACTAGATAGAAAAATATACATATATAAAGATATTAAAACTTAAATCAGAGACAACTTGTTTAAAAATAAATTCATTAAAAAGAGAATTGAGTTATCATTG